GTACGTGTACGTGTACGTGTACGTGTACGTATTATATGTATTTAGTGTTGCAACCCCTGGTATGCCCAAATATGGGAGGAGGCCTACTGCTTCCTTTCTCTGTCTTATCGGCTCGTCACAAGAGACCATCCAGACAGAAATCCAATATTTTTACTGTTGCCTTTGTTACATTTGTGTTGTATTTGTGCTGATAAATAAATATTTATTTATCTTTATTTATTTATCAGCACAAATACTACACACACACACACACACACACACACACACATGCGTTCTCCTGCCTGAACAGTGGGTTGGACTAGAAGACCTCCAAGGTCCCTTCCAGCTCATTCTATTCTATAACAGTTCCTCTTTATCGTTCCCCCCCTTCCCCATCCTCTCCCTTCTGCAGAAAAAGGCGTTGGATATGACGAGGACAGAAGCACTCTGCACATGCTCGAGAGCTACTCTACGCTCCTTCCCCCACCCCTTAATTTGGCTGAACAAGAAAACCAGGCGATGGCAGAAATGCTCTGCGCCTGCTTGAAAGTTAAATTGACTTTAATTGACGCGGCTCCTTTTTCCCTGCGCCGGGGGAGATGCGCAGGGTTGGGGGCGAAGCCACTCTGCATATGCTCGGAAGTCCTTTGTCTCCGGCTGGCTTTTCTCCCAGAGGAGGAGGAGAAGAAGCGGAGGCGTTGCACGGGTTCCGCGGTCGGCTCCGCCTGGCTTGGCTGAATAGACGAGCGGCTCAGCTGATGCAAGCGGCCGCCTGGCCCGCCCCGCCGCTTGCCTATATATAAGCCGAGCTCCAGGCGCCCCCGCCGCGGAACCTCCCTTCCCGTGTCTTCGAGCCGCCAGAGGGCTGGGTGCCTTTCCATCAGCAGTGGCGCCAGCGCTGCGGGGCCCGAGCTCGGTAAGCAAAGCCGGAATGTGGGTTGGGGGGGGGTGTCGCGAAGGGGGCCGAGAGAGAGAGAGAGAGACGGCAAAAATTCTACATCTTCTCATTTTTGCAACGCTGCCCTGGGTGGTTTGGTTTTTTTTGCAAAAAAAAAAGCAACTGCGCGGCTTTCCTTTTAAAAAATAAATAAAAGCTGCGTTCCTAAAACAGTCTTGCACCGGGAAGCGGGGGAGGGCGAGAATCGGTATCTCCCCCACACACACACACATACTCCAAAAACAAAACTCGACCTACCGCTCTCGCAACTCTTCTCCCCCCCCCTTTTATGCGGTTGCAAATTTCATAGCGTTGCAAAAGAAATAAAAGGTTCCTTCGGTGCGTTTGCAGTCTTTTTTTTTTTTTTGGTTCCTTTAGCAGATCTGCAGCGTTATTCGAGCAAATTTAGACGTCAGGGGCTGGGAGAGGGGGGCATCCTAAAAGAAGGGGGCGTGTGCAACATACACACCTCTTTTTTTTTTCTTATTTACAACAGGATTGACGGAAAATGCATTCACCGATTTTGCAAAATAATTACTTAAAAAAACACGCACACAACCCAAAGGCTATATAGGACCACATACGGACACATATGTAGCATATTCTGGAAAGGGAAAAATCCGGAATATTTTTGGGGGGGGGATAGTCGCAAGCCTAAAAAAACCAAGTCGATTGCTCCAACCCCCCCCCCCCCTTTTATATCAGCAATAGGTCGATCTCTTAGCGGTAGACTCATATTATTTCCAAAGAGATTGGGCTTTTTTTTTTAATACTGCATTTTCTTTTAAATCCAAGTACTCCTCCCCCTTA